ATCGGATCGGCTCTCCCCCCTCAGTCCGGTTTCGGGGTCCCTAGGATCGGATCGGCTCTCCCATTCAGTCCGGTTTCGGGGTCCCTATAGGATCGGCTCTCCCCCTCAGTCCGGTTTCGGGGTCCCTAGGATCGGCTCTCCCCCCTCAGTCCGGGGTCGGGGTCCCCAGGATCGGACATGGACAGGCGGAGAAGAGCCACCCTGGCGCTGACCCTCAACTTCCTCTCGCTGCTCTTCTCCATCACCGCATTCAGCAGCAGCTATTGGTGTGAGGGGACCCGCAAAGTGCCCAAACCGATCTGCCGGGGCCCCGCCACAGACAAGCCGACCTTCTGCATCCGATTCAACGGCTCCGACACCAACAACAGCAACGCGGTCCAGTACACCTGGGAGACCGGAGACGACAAGTTCATGGAACGATATTTCCACGCCGGGATCTGGTATTCGTGCGAAGAGAACGTCAGCGGAGACGGTGAGTGCAACAGCAGAGCGCCAACATTGTCAGTAGCGCTGTATGGAGAGAGCTGCACCAGAGGAGCTTACACTCTAATGTCCCCTTCCCCTACAGTCACATCAGTCTCTGTACAGAGGAGCTTACACTCTAATGTCCCCTCCCCCCACAGTCACATCAGTCTCTGTACAGAGGAGCTTACACTCTAATGTCCCCTCCCCCCACAGTCACATCAGTCTGTTTGGCGCCGTTAGTCACCTGACGTGAGACGCGCTGCGCTGGCTGATGGCGTTCGCCGACTCGGGCTCATTAGATGGGAGGACAAAACATGAATCCGATCTTCTCCGGCCACTGACAACACGCGTCTGCCATTCATTACATCCGCCGAGGACGTGACACCAGGAAATCAGTGGGGGTGACACCAGGAAATCAGTCAGTGGGGGTGACACCAGGAAATCAGTGGAGGTGACACCAGGAAATCAGTGGGGGTGACACCAGGAAATCAGTGGAGGTGACACCAGGAAATCAGTGGAGGTGACACCAGGAAATCAGTGGAGGTGACACCAGGAAATCA